AGACATGCCAACAAACATATATGGATATATGTCACCAAGCAACGGACTGTCAACAAACACTCATATTATATATAATATAATATAAGGAGAATACACATTATTAAAGGAGACAAGTCCATACAAGTGAAGTGGTCACAGACTAACCGAGCAAACAGAAAGAGAGACCAACATGCACACACACACATAAATACATATATGTGGATACATATCAAGGAGTCAGAAATCTGACTACTAATTTTTAGTTAATTATTTTCTTTATTACAGCTTGTTTTCATACAGGATTTTCATACAGGTGTGGAATGTTTAGCATGTGATATCGGCACCCCAAATTTAGCAGGCCGACCATTGGTACCAGGTGTGCGTCGGCCGCAGATCGAACCCTGGATCACGAACATGGTCCGCGGGCATCCTAACCGTTGTGCCACCGACTCAGGTTAGTCATACCGTAAGATTATGCGTGTTGTGCATTCGACGAATAGTGTTTGTCAAATTATAGTCTGTCAGGGTAAATAAGTCACCGTCTGTAGAATCACTAATTTGAATTCAATATTGATCATGATCCATAGGTTATAGGGTCTGTTAAGTGAACTCTCTCCTTTCAAATGTTAGGAGTGTGATATTGTCTGTGAATAAGGATATGATCAGGATAAATCACACGGTATCTGAAAGATTAATATTCGTTTAAGTTAAGGTTGATTTTAGAAGTTAAACCAAAATGAATTTGTCTACTTGTTTATAATGTTAACCGGAAATAAAATCACCACCATCATTAACAATATTATGCAAAGAACAACCTGCTAGTGGACACCAATCCTCCAACCAAGAGAGCGGAAATCTTGAATGCAACCAAACTAGCCTTTCTAATGTGTTTTCATATTTCTCCTGAGAATAATCGACATTTTATCTAAAATCCACTTGTTTTACTGATTGGCTGACTCAATATCACTCGTCAGTTCACGTTCCATGAGTTCGGTTAGTCGAACTTTGTTAGGTAGGGAAACAGAACGACATTGTTTCTACTGACATTGAAGAAATTTATGTTGCTGATAGGTTTATCAAAGTAAAATGAAATGCGAATTTACAAAATCTCACCTTATAAACCGTAAGTTACTTAACGTTGTCAATTGGATAAATTGGTTATTATGGACAACGACGTGCAGATATTTGGTCAAGATAGGAATGTGAATTATGAAAAAAACAGGTGATGAAACTTTTTATCATATGAACATTGATTTTGTCACTTCAAGGGTGGTTGCGTTGCAAAGATGTCAAATTCTGTCTGACTCCGTCAACCCGCTTCAGACAATTTATATTCCAGTTAATATGAATTGCTTTTCATATGGAAAAGTCATTTTGATTATGCAGAAATTACACTGGTGTTTAATACCGACATCCAGACAACTGTGCGTCGGTGGCACAGTGGTTAGAACTCGCCGACCATGAACATGGTCCGAGGTTCGAACCCCCGCCGACGCACACCTGATATCTATGGTCGGCCTACGAAATTTGGGCTACCGATATCCATGCTGAAAATTCCATACTTGTACCAAAAATATAGTGTGGAATCAAGCTGTATATCAAAAATCAAAAAAAATATATATCCAGTTCAAAATGTTTGGACATATACTAAATGTTGAAAACAAAAATGGCTTTCATATCATTGAGCTGTGCCAAGACTGTCACCAACTTTATACGGATTCCTGATTTTTTTTTTTTTTTTCATTTTTAAGTGTTGGCTTGTAGGGATTTGGTTGGTTTCAGGATTTCTTCATGGGTTGACATTTGTTAGAGAACCATGGGAAAACCTGCGTGTGGTGCAAACGTTGTATTAACAAGGCACTTAGAGTGCAGCGTCGGGTTCCCTGAGATTCAATTATTCAGAGTATGCTTTGAGACTGATGCAAAACTGGATTTGCTGTGCTTGGATTGGTTTGAATGCATGTTGTTCTCAGAATTCCTTCTCCACAGTGTATGCGATAGAGTTGAAGGGAGAGATTTTACGAGTTTCATTCAACAATTCGAAGCGTGATCCTAACCAGAATCATGATATAGTAAAACCAACGTCCTACCAGTTTTTCAATCAGTAAGACGTATCCCGTATGCCTGTCATTGCCTCCTCCAACTTCTCCATTTCACTCCCACACTGGCCACACACTCGTCGTTTACTATTCACCTTCTACTAGAACGATGGTCTTGATTGAGCGCGATGTGTCTGACGGCCTCGTTGATAAACGCATGCTCAACCGGCCATACTCCGTTTTTTCCCACACATTTGTTGAGCGATCGGTCCTTCGTTGGTTTGTTCATTGCCAGAGATTTTGATCCTGAACTTTTCTGGCCTGCTGACTGGATAGCTATTTGATCTTCGGGACAGAGCCAGCTAAGGAAGTTAGCGGCTGTTGATGAAGGTCTGCAACAGGCTGTTGGAAGTACTCTTCGTGATTCATAGGCCGACATTCTTACGCGTTTAGAAAAAGTATCTGACTGCATTATTTCACCGATATTATTGTTGAAAATGTGGATATTGTTGTTTATTCTGAGGAAGAGTGCAGGCGATTTCCAAACTGATTTAAGGTTGACGAATACGTCTCTTTTCTTCCGGATTCGGGCTGGCTTACTTTCACATCTTCACTCGTTCAGACTGCCGGTGGTTTGAACCGTGCTGGCTGCCTAGATAAGTCTATGCAGGAAGTACGCTCTTTCAACCTCTTTCTACATTTGATGGGGATTCGCGCTGGTGATTCTTGTTGTCATTGCTGTTGGCGGCGGTCAGTTGGTTTGTTATCTTAGTCACATCCATCTTCATCTTCTTTTTGTTCACCTGGATGGAATCATTCTGATCTCGCTTCGAGCTGACCAGTCTTTGCAGCCAGTTTTCGCTTGTCTGCCAGCCTGCTTGTGTTTGTGTGATATTCAATGGCATAAATCATCCGCACGCGAATCCAAATCTTCTCCTGTCTTCTCATCGGTCACTGCAGCGCATTCCTGTCTTCTGACTCACTCAGTCCTCCTTCAGCGTACAATCTAACTCATAATCCAGTCCACCACAATAATTTATGTGAATCATGATATAGTAAAACCAACGTCCTACCAGTTTTTCAATCAGTAAGACGTATCCCGTATGCCTGTCATTGCCTCCTCCAACTTCTCCATTTCACGCCCACACTGGCCACACACTCGTCGTTTACTATTCACCTTCTACTAGAACGATGAACGTGATTGACTCACTCAGTCCCCCTTCAGCGTACAATCTGACTCATAATCCAGTCCACCACAATAATTTATGTGAGCATACATATAATCTTTATTATTAACGGCTTCCTGCTACTCCTAAGTGTTCAGATTCCGGCGAGCATTCACGTAAATGTTTTGAGTTGTGAACATAGAGAGTAGTGAGAGTGAGACAATGTGGATCAAGTCGATTTCTCGCATAAGTTGTACAGATATCTGTCAACTACATGGACAATGTTCTGACTTAGTGGTGACATACCAGCCTTACTGTACTGACACCTATGCGCCAGTTTTTGATATTCCACTTGAATGAAGCTCCAATTGCTTAAGTCTTATTTCCTGAAATGGAGCATTTTACAAGAAAAAATTCACATTCGTCAAATTCGTAGCCGAAAGACTTCTGAGTAACTCTTACACGGCCCACAACTGCTTTGTGGATCTGATTTCCTCTCGCCTCACTTAAGACCGTAAAATCCCATTGGTTAGTGACCGTTGTAACTAATCAGTGTCATCAGTGTCTCTACGTCATTGAAAGCACGAGACAGTAAAATCTCTCCACGTCAACATTCACACTTTTTTGCTTGTCTTCTTGCATCGCGTTTTTGTTGCTAATAGGGGCTCGCAAATCGACTGCGGAAAAAGTGCGTAAGTACCTATACCAAGTTTATCAACGGTGAAATCAAAATTTGCGACGGGCCATGTCATTATGATGTTCATTCACAATTATAAGAGATTTTGTATTTCACAGTGCATAAAAAAGAAAACGATATTTGCGCTTTTACTGATGTTCACTATTATCAAAGTATTACCAAACTACAATTTTAAAAATTTACGATGAGATATGGCAACTCAATCATCCTTCTTCATTATGATGTAATCCGGTTTACGTTGTGAAGTTAGTCGGTTGATAAAGATGACACGACAAGCGGCACGTCTTTGAATCTGATGAGCGTATGCAATTATACAAAAGCAGCATGCGCTTACATGATGAAAATCAATTATCTTATTTGTGTTGATCATGTCACTTCATGCTAGAAACCAAGGTTGTTGTAATCAGGTTAAATTCTGTCTTCAGTGCATCACTCATATTCATCAGACAGTGTGAATTCCATTTCATTTGAAGTCCTTCTCATATAAGAAATACTTTTTCATTTCTGAAGTTCTTCTGGATGATGATATCAATATTGTGAGAGTCAATTTTGTGACCTGATTTTATGGCGTAGTGTGTAGACGACATACAGCTGATGATTTTCCTAGCTTTTCTAGTTCAACCGAATTTCTCGCTGGTCGAACAGATGCTCTAAGGTGTTCATTTTTTCTGATTACCTTGATTTTTCTCTTGCGACGTTTGTGCGATATATATTATCCCATCACATTCCAGGCATTTTATTTTGTACAAACACTAAGATAGAGAATCCTTAGGCATAGGGTTTTTTGCATTCAAAAGGCTTCTTTATGGTGTGTGTGCGTGCCTGATCTTTTAAAAAAGACGTTTTAAAAGACTCCTTGGTATCTACGTGCGTGCAGCAAGATTAACAAAAAATCATTTCCCCGTGAGCATCATTCACTATCGAATGGATATGTATATATATATTCAAATAAAGGAGGTAATAAAGTCATTCTAGCTATCCGCTCCCCCACCACACCACAGTAAATGTAACCAAGAACAGCATTGATGAGATTAAGCGGAATTTATTTCAGAAAGTCGACTTCTTAACATGATTACGATCGGAGCATCATGAGATATTCTACTTGACACAGGTAGGCGTTCACTGAATGTTGCCAACATTCAGGAGTTCATTTTCGTATAGTCGGTGACCTAAAGGTACCAAAATGTTGTCGTTTTCAGTATCAAATTTCGGCGGGACATCTACTGAACAAATTTCCTGTAGGCAATAGAAAATATGAGAGAGAAAATCAATCAGCCTTGGTTTCTAATTGTGCAGAGTTTGGGTGAAATTGAGTAACTTTCCCGAAAATAATAAATAACTGATCAGAGAAATTCACAATAAAAATACTATATTAATTTGTTGGTTATATATCACACAAATATGCGGTCAGTGAAACAGTATTATTCATTGCTGGATGACTAATTCTTTCGAAAACAATTTACCTATTTTTCATTATCACTTCATCATTTATAATGACACAAACTTTCAAAATACCATTTCTCAGTTATCTTTATTCAAACATCTTCGCCGAAGGTCACAGTTTACAGTAGGATTTTCCAGATGCCGAAGTGGAGAGGAGTTGAATCACTCCTATTAGACGCATTCCACCGTCTCGGTCGATTCAACAGATAAAGACTCAAACAGTTAGCAGTCCTTTCATCTCCTCCCTGTTATATTAGATTTTCAAACCCTTATCTTATTCTATTACCCCAAAGTATTTTGTTTATTCCTTTACGTTCCCAGTGGAACATAGGGCTTCAAGCCAGAACACGTTTCAGTAGCAGTGGCGTCTATCTCACGGGGTGAGGTTGCTAGTCTCATTCTCAAACCTCCCTCTCTACCATTTTCATTACTGACCTCTAGCCAATTTTTAGGCTTGTGTTTGTCCTCACAGCCGACCTGATGCACCTAACTGGTCACGACTACCTACTAGAAACCCAGGTGCACTCCCATGTGCACCCACCGCTTAATAAATCATCTTTTCATTTGTATTATTCAGTGAGGATGAAGGATACACCTTGAAACACCTCCTTGATCCAAAACCGGCCACCCATCCCATCGTACCCATCAGACCAAAAAGAATCTTACAAAATGGATGGGCAGTTATCTCTTTACACTCTACAACACAACAAAACATTAAGAAAACGAACATTTACTTAATCGAATTTAATTGTTGGATGGTGACTAACAGTGGAATCCAGGATGCGCATTTCGTCATATTTGGGACTCGTCTTCTGGATGTACCTGCATTTCTCAGTGGGTGAGAGGCTAGAACCCAGTGCCCATAGTTTCAGACTCAGAAGCGTTATCCACTAGACCACTTGGGCGATGAGAGCCGCCTGAGACCGAGCACTTAGGCCCAATCAATCCACGGAAAATCAAAAATGGTCAATTAAATTTACTTACTCGAATAGCAGCGTCGATCTGCTTGCACACGCCATCCTTGTAATATACCTGATGACTGAGAAGAATACATTCATCATTTTACTCATCAAACTTGTCCAGAAAAAACATCTCAAAAAAGATTGATTATCCAACGGACAATATTCACATTTTCAATCACCTGCTCTTCATCATCATCATCGTCAGTTTCTACAGTTACATTCATCCACAATACGGAATGAATCAATTGGAGTTATTCACAGGGTGAATTACGTTGTTTAAATAACATCGAATCAATGAGAATATCAGTGATATCAATGGATTACAGTACGACAGCATTAACATGACACTTAACACAGAATGAATATCAGACAAATTAGGGACAGTGATAACAATAATCTGAAGCCCTATGTTCCTCTACTAATTAGAGGAAATAATGATAAATAATAACAATAATACAAATTCATGAATTTACAGGCTGCAGAGAGAGAAGGCCGGCCAGGGTAATAGTAGTAGCAAAAGTGGCTAGCTAGTTGGACCTGTTTCGTCTCCACACATAAACAGAGTACCTTTTGTTTTAGGCTATTTGTTCCGAGTATTTTGTTCCTGAATGCTTTTGGCGATTATTCAATATTAGCTGTGTGGCCTGTCGGTTTGGACCAGGCTGTGTAATATCGAACTGTTGATGCTTTTCACTATGGTTCTGTTAAGCTACATCACACTGTTGGGTTTATCCGATTAAACACAAAAGCCAAGTTCTAAGAGCATTGGCCAATATAAATCACAAACGCAGTAGGATTGGTAGATGAGATTAAATGTGACCAGCTACTCCTAATACTTCATCTTTCAATCAAGGAATCACACCGGTCGTTTTGACAGTACAACTTGTAGTTTACCAGAGTTAATATTCCTCTGATTAGATTTTCTTAACTTCTTCGTAATTATTTTGCCAGGTATATCGTCCTTGAATTTCAGTGGTAAAAGTGTGAATGTTTTTTGTTCACCGAGTGTGAATATTCATTTTCTACTTTCTCGGTCATGTTATTTCTGATGAACTTTTCTGGATAGCCATTTTCAATTAGGGTGTCATATGCTATGCCAAGTTCATCTTCAATTACATTTTTGAGCATATAACTCTGAACCTGTAGCTGAGTCAGGTCCTCACTGAATTTTTTGTACTGGGGGGAGGGAAGCTGTGAAAATGTGTATACTGTCCTGTTCACATAATATTCTTGTGTGCAATTTTTTTTCTTTTTTTACAACCATCAGGTTTTTTGTGACGAGGATATCTAGGAAGATAATTCATTCTATTTTGGGATTCCTCTTCACACGTGAAACCACTAGCAGCAGAGTACACTTCAGTGAACTGAGTTTTCACTCTGTTTTTCTCCGAAAAGACCAGTATTCTTAAAGTATGTGGGTGCGCAGATGAAACAAGTCTATCTAACCAGCCAGACACCCCTGCTTATACAACGCTGACCGGCCTTCTATGTCTACAGCCTTTAAATTCATGAATTTGTATTATTATTATTATTAATACTGTTCCTGGATTGTCTAATATTTATTCAGCATGCAGTGTCATGCTGATGCATATGAACACACATAGAGCTGGTGTTCAGTTGAAGTCTATTCACACTATCACTACTGCTAATGATTGATTCGCTGTTATTCTGAACAATGACATTAATATTGTTTATAACACTAATTCTTTCATCCACTGTTATGGATGCACGAATGGATGGATACGTAACTGTGAAGAATCTGATGATGATGGTGCTGACGATAAAGTGTAGGTTATCGAAAGGGTGGGTATCCTTTGTCTGGTAATTTTATTATTATAATCATAATCATTAAGATAATTATTGGCAAATGGTTTTGGGGTGAATGTTTAAAAGCCTAGTTAGAGAAGTCACATAAAACTAATACGAAGCTACAGGATGTTAATTAACAAGAGCCTTATAATACATGTCACGAACGGAGCTGAGACCTAGTAGACTATGAGCGAATACTAACTTTATGCACTGGCTAATTTGTCCTAATTGTATATCAACAACAAAAACAACAATAATAATAATACCACCAGGCCGCAAAAGATAGAAGATAAGACTGAATGTCGGTAATAGGGCTTCTACTGTCTAGAAACAACAGTCAAAACAGAAGGTTGACTGTGCTTGCGACTTTGTATGTTTAAAATGACCTTGAAAACTACCGATTTCATTGGTGCAATCATGCAACGGCGGATACTATCCTCATGTAAGCCACTCCAACTGTATGCACAAATTGACATGAAGCTCTGCCCTCTTGACATAGTCAGAAACATTAGGAGAACAGAGGAGAGGATAAAACTTCAATTTTCTGAAGATAACACGTGGAGCATTTGTCTCAAGGAAACAAAGATTACTGCAGTGCCATTACTAGATATCTTATCAAAACGGGTCGTGAGTTGGACATTATGGAATTATTCAAAATCAATAATAGACATAATAGCTCACTTTCCTTCATGTTTGCCTACCGAGGTAATCGTATTCAAACGCCTGAAACACGATTTATGTGTGTTCAAAAGAAGCAGTTATCACCAGTGTTTCCTCGCCCTGCCATGCCTGGTAACTGGATATCTTCACTATCCCCCACTCTCTATCTGTCACTTGAATACGTTGTCTACAGCTTTAACAGCTTCTTCATTTTATACCCTGTAACACTGCTTGTCCCTTGTTTCTATGGTATGAGGTGAACTCATCACAGAATTACTCATCCATCATCTTATTCATATCATACCTTTCCCTAATTCTTAATCCTTTTGGTTTTATTCTTATCAACCACTTATCGTGGTGAAGGCTCAAGGGAAAATACCATAGAAGAGTGATTTCTGAACACTGTTCATTGAGTTTGAAGTGCCTTGTTAACTGCTGCTATGTATATCATATTTGCAAGGATTTTAAGTTGGTTTGGAGGCTGTTAGTAGCAACTGATGACTAGTCCACGAATATTTGTTGGTATCCTCTTGATTCTATCTGCACACAATGTGGAGTTCTCAACATTTCGTTCGATATTCCATGTAATTTTTTCGAATAATATTAAAAACAATCATAAAGATAATAATACAACGATGCATTGATTGTTAATGGCAGCTCTCATTTGGTATTGGTATGATAGTGAATTCATACAAATACGTAAAAAGTCTAATCTTTATTGATAATGGTAATAATGTCAGTAGGCAAGATCGTCAGATTCATTGAAAAGACAAACTCACCATAGCTTACGAATAGGAGATAGCAAATAGAAGAGCCGATTATTTTGCTAACGTCATAGTCATTCAAAGGTTTCACGCCTAACATTGTTTATATCGCATAGAACAAGGGTTGGGCAAACACTGGGTCATTCAGTTTCTATACTCAGTAGAACGAGAAAATCATCTTTTGTACTGACTTATAGTTCTACCAGACGAGATACAAGCGATAAAAGGCGGGAAGACTTGAGAAAATAGGGGCTACTTTGGGTGTTGAATTTCGGTTAATGTGGATTAAGACCATTTCTGGCGTGAGTTATTCAGATGCCTATCAATTAACTAATGTAGTGACAAGCTGAGAGGCTAAGTTGCACACCACCACAATTTTAATGCGCTTCTTCTCAAAATGACATAGTCCTTTTTTATGAAGTAGCCCAGGAAATACTAAGGTGGGGTGTGGTGGGGTGTCGACCACTAAAGTACAGTAGGTATAATACAAGAGTTAACAAATTGTCAAAGTAGAGCGAGTTGAGTGATTCCAGATTGTCTTAGCTTCTTAATGTAGCAGCTCAGATGAGATATTTTCTTGGAGATCGATAAAATAAAGGATGACTAGTCAAGTAAGATCAGAGGATAGAAGTGCACCAACGTAGTTTGTGTTACACGTAGTTTTTACTCCAGTCTCCTCTGTGCTACAAGCATTATATATACTAACCAGTTGTTGAAGATCACGTTAGGGTCTACAGGAAGAGTCAACAGTCTGACATTTTGATGGATCTCACTTAAGATCATTCAGATTACACCACTGGCAGACTAATGATATCCGACAAATATCTATTCAATTTAAAGGAGATTAAACGAGAAATGAACACGCTCAGCAATCAGTGCGTGTGCGTGGAAGTGACACAAACCAAACATCACATGTTAACAGTACCAGGCTAAAGCAATATCAAATATAAATCAATTTTGTCTAGTAGTCACTTACAAGAGACTTTCAGCACGAACGTTTTCGTCACTAACAGAATAAACGAGAACGTACAAAATGATCACGTGGAGTATTGAGTACACTACAAAACGAATTGATTGCATTTTATTCGTAGTATTTAACAAAGTTTTCATTTTTGTGAAACAGAACACGTTCGTCGTGATTAATAATTCAATAATTCAGTCATTCAGATATCTATTCCATAGGACAGCAATAGTCTCAGCACACACCCTAAATCTCACTTGTTCTATGAAGTGTGTGCAAAGTGTCAGCGAACGTGTAGGCTGATAGGTGAGCCAATTCTGTACAAATCGCAAATTAAGGGCAACATATGTGTGCGTGTGTATGTAACTCAAGTGTTTATCATTATTGATTGTTTGTTATCTTAGACGTTTATGTATCGTTTATTTCAATTTGTGTAATGCCTTAGGAGTTACATTAGTGAATGAATTTATCCAGATAAAACGAATCGATTGATGATCCAATAGACTTTAGGACACTGACAGCATGTAACACATTTAAACGGAGAGATAGAGGGGCAGACACACACACATAAATAATCATTATCTTCGCCATATTTATGTACCAAACTATTCAAAAGAACAGAGAGTGTCTAAATTATCATTGTATCTTTCCTCTACAGTATGAAAAGACATTGGTTAAGTGTTTTTTCAAATGCACTCACTGTATATGTACTGCTGACAAAAAATTGAAGAAGAAAGACAACTTTACACTAAAAGAAAAACCCACTGAGATGTATTGGCCATTAAGGAAATGTTAACTAAAACGTTCTACCAATCCAATTCGATCCTATAAAAGAAGGTTTATATATACCTAACGTTCATGGGTGACCAATAAGGTTCGATCGGTAACCAAAGACTCAAGGTGGTAATTCATAGAAATGTTTATACTGCTAAATTTATTTTCATAGAGAACTTTGCTGTCGTGTAAACCCCCACTCTGATATCCGAACGATAGAGTCACATCTCATTTTGTTTATCACTTTACATGTATGTGTGAACACACGTACATTGGCAGGAGGACTCATCGGTCTCCCCCGCCTAGGGCTACACATCATATTACAAAGTGGCTGTGACAACAACAAATTAAATATGCATATAAAACTGATCCCAGATATGTCCGACATCATCTACAGTGAATCACGTTATAGAGGCAGGTCATAAGGCTGATTTCAGGAATGCATTTAAACCCAAATATAAGACAAGGTTTGGCCACAAACTTAAATTTGTTGAAGACTTAGCTGTGAAAATTCCTAAAACTGTCAGTCTTACGTGTTGAAAAGTTATTTGTAATTACTTGAAACCTGCCTCTGTAATCAAATATGCTTCATAATATTTTCAACCTTTTCTTTGCTATCTCCCTACTCAATGGTTGTGAGCTTCACAGTCTGGCCTGCATTGTAATGATACATGCAACCTCTTGCCTTTTTTAAAACTGTACATAACAAGTTCTTGTGTTGCGCAAGTACACACTGCATTACACGCTTCAAATAAGTTTTCTGCGTCTTCTTATTGTGTTGTCGAAATTCATAAAATAAAAACTACTTGCTTTAGATTCAGGAAAACTGTGAGAAAACCAATAGACTGCAATCTAAATTTAAGAATAATTTCCTGTGGTCAGACCGTAAAATCGTGAAGGATTACTTCAAGTACGTTTAACACGGTTGTAGGATGCCTCTGAGAAGACTCCTTTTTTAAGCTCCTCTCAGCGTGTTTGTTTGTGAGATGCTTTTCAGCCTTTTCGTCTCGATCTGTTGGGTTGTTCAGCTTTTGAAATTTCGTTTCATTTATTGGAAGTGAATTCACTTTGCCACGTAATGCATTGTGTTAATAATGGATGTCACTCCACGGTATTCTCATTATTCATACTCATCTCAAATTCCTATTTTCCTTCCTAAGTAAACCATACAACAAACTTTTTAATAATTATCTCTTTTTTCTCCAAGACTGTGCATCATTCTTATGACGTTTGCATTTCATCTACTGATATAATGCATGTTATTTGTCTTTGTCCCGGTTAAATGTAAAATTTTAATATTCTTCTTAGTGGGTGGCTGATGATACTGATATGTTAATTAATGACTGCGATTTTGCTCCAGTGAGTGAAAGTCATTCTAGCCTTGGAGTGGCTGTGAGGATTGTTTAATGTATGATAATTGTTGCTAGAGTTTTGGTACCACCATGTTGAGAACAGTCTACGTCTTTGTTCGGTAAATCTTGCAGTTGATATTTGGTTTACTAATATTGCCGTGTTGTGCGCTTTTGCTGGAAATTCTTTGATCTGTATTCTCTGGCCCACCTTACAGCATTATCCAGGTAATTCTGAGTTTTAGATGCATTATAACCGTTGAATAGTTCATCAATTTTATTGAAAATAAATCTCCTATTATCGTCGGAATGTTTTTCGAACTGTTCATTACTCAAGAAGGTTTGGGTCAAGAGTACAGTAGGACAGGAATATTGCTTGTCAGATTTCAGATCGAATCGTTTTGGTTTTCGTCGCTATCATTTCGGTCATTATCAACACAAAACTGCATTTGAAACCAGATACGCTGGAAATTAATCCGAAACAGCCAAAAGTATCAAAATGGAAATGGTGGGAATTAGTTTACATTATGAAACTCCTCAGCGATAATCCATGTGTATGAAAATATGCACTTAATATCCCATACATACGTTAGCCTTGTTCAACAAAATTATCGACAATATCATCCATGTTTAGTGTTCATAGTGCGCGATGTTTCTTAGTGTTATTACGTTTCAAAAAGAACAATGTTTGTCACAGTTGGCAAGTTATATGTGATGTTTGGAAACTCGCACACACGCATATATATATACACACAAAACCATGTTTATTCATGAAAAATATCGCTAAAGCATTTACAGTATTCTTCATAAGACTGTTCTTGGTTGGATAAACCTACTGGGGCTTTAAAGTTTCAATATCGAAAGTCATTTATTCAGTTAATCAATGAATTAAAGGATGATCCAATAGTCGTGTGTCTGATGTTTCCAATGAAGCTGAATATTTGCCGTTAATAGTTAAAAGATAAATAGACGGATTCATATTAGTCATCCGATTGTTATCAGAAACGGTAATTCCAAAAAGTTAGGTGGGTCAAATTGTTCATTGTGAAATTATATATTAACAAATTTCAAGAATTAGAATATTTCTGCTTGAATTGAACCTGCGAGTTTATGTAATGATATTCTGACTAATTTAAATCTGGAAGTAGTCGCTGAGGAGTCAACAATATATAATATATCTGAATTAGACATCACTCATTTGGAATGTCAGTTCATTTTTATACGTCTTTATCCTTTCGAGAGATATACAACTCAGCTATCATGTTTTAGGATGCGAAAGGCGCAGTTATTTAAGCGAAACACCGATACGTTTCTTTAGCGGAAAACAACTTGCATTGACGATGTGAGACTGTTGTTGGTTTTGCTGCGAGGCCCTGATGAATAATTTTTATAGCGGTTACCTTAAATACGCTAAATCACCGTTTGCACTGCCAGTCAGTTTAACGATATCCGCTTTCATCAAACGTATTCAGAGAAGGGTCGTTTAAGAGGAAGCTATCTATATTGATACGTAGGCCAGATTTACACCATCACCGTGTGAATCATTTCGTCGATTTCGTGTATCCGAATTTAGATTTTCACAGGAATTTTATTGGAGGGCAAACAGCCAAGTAGTACGAAGTAAAATGTTATACATGAAGTGAAATATATACGAGAAGCTTTGAAAAAAACAATAATTACCCTAATGAGTTCATCAGGAACTATGTAGGAAAAAGTGTCTCCATGATGTGAAAGTCTACATTGCAAGATGAATTCTGTTTTCTCTCCTGCAGTATTATCATTGCTCTGAATCCATTAGTATATGCTAACTTTTTACTATCTTCATTACTACTGTTGATTTCTAAATGGATCTTAGTACATTTTAAAATACAATTTTGTGGTCAGAGAGTTATTCGCTAATCATATTTTTCTCATTTGTTTGATTTCATTATTTAAATCTTGTGTCATGTTAGTTAAGCTACTATTTGTACTGCTTAAACACTTTGCTGACTTTCAAAGTGTGGGAATTTATTCAAGATTAATAGTTTTCAGTGAGCCTGTTCAGTTCATTTTACAATCCGATAGTCACCTTGATTCCACCCACTGCTAAATTCAGGTGTGATGAAAGCAATGAGTGTGTCCTTCTCATACCCCCAGTATAACTTAGGAGTAGGATCAAATATTTCAAGACTGTCACCTTTCCAAATAACCATTAACATGAACATTCTACCGATATGAATATCAGTTTCCCCTTCACCAATCATTTTGCTTCCTTGTATATTTCATTTTGAAATCTAGATACAGTGGAGGTCAGCCATAATTGCAAATCTAATATCATAAGTTTAACTGTAACTGTATACCCGTATCTGAGTGAGGGAACAATGGTTGGCTCTTTACCAGCTCGCTGTAGAGCACCGTTAGTCTAAACACTATCAAACAATCTTGTCTCTCCAAAGGCAATATAGATATGTTAATTCATGGAAATATGCGAAAAATAATATAAGCCTGAATATTCTGATTTACTCAGCTTTGCTGATAATACTGGAATGTAAACGATGAATTCATTTGGTAGTGCTGTGCTGCTTTAAGTTCATTATTTGATTTCAGACATACGATAGGTCAATCGTCGTCTCATTCAATTAATTGGTAAAATCAGCGATCTTTGAATTGAGGGATAAATCAGACTATCCACTTAAAGGTATTTGCTGATTATGATTTTGCTTATCATGGTGTTGTGTAGCATTCATATAGCTAATTTTATTGTGCTTATGTGTGTAAGGAGTACACAAACAATGCATATATATTTTTATGATTTTGATCACAGTTATTTCATCTGAAGTTTGAAAACACTAAGAAACAAGACGGACTATGACCGATCAAAGTGAATTGATCGCGTCAATTATTTTGTTGAACAAAGTTTAAATACCTATGTGAAATTGTGCGAAAATATTTTCTAGCAGATACATTTGAGAGCTAGTAGTTTCATTGTGTAAGTCGATCACTCCTATTTCCATTTTGGTAATCTTGATTGTTTTAACTTATCCTTG